ATCGATGAGATTTAGATTCTGTACCCATCATTCGTTTGTTACAGGAGTAGTGATTGCCATGCATGTAATTAACATACCAAACTCTTAGACATATAATAGCTTCAGTGGTTTAGACATTCTGGACTTACTCATGCCACTTAATTGCTTTTTTTTCATTTTATTCAGAAATTATTTGCAAGAGAAACTAGCCAGTCCATTTTGAAAGAGGGATCCCTTGGTGTGGGTTAATAGGGTCTGGTGTGTGGATGAGAACTACTTAAATAAACAGCAGGACTCTTGAGGGGGAAGATGGCACAGTCAGGGAGGCACTAAGGCAAAGTGCCCAGTCATGGATGTGGTGGTGAGTGTTAGTAATCCACCCGAGGCAGGAGGGTTGTGAGCTGGAGGACAACTTGGGCTACATTAGGAGAGCCTGTCTCAAAAAGGGCTGTGTTTCCTAGGAGATGGCTCAGTGGGTAAAGTGCTCTCCATACAAGCTTGAGGAACTGAATTTGAATTTCTGAGAACCCGTGTAAATACCAGGCACTCTGGCATGGGTCTATAATCCTGCCACTCCTACAGTAGGATGAAGGGCAGAGACAGGAGATCCCTGGGAACCCCTGCACCACATAGCCTGGTGTACACAGTGGCAAATGTCAGGAGACGCTGTCTCCAAAACAGTAGAAGAAGGGACCAACACTTGAGGTTATTTCTGATTTTGTCATGCACACTGTTGGCTTGTGCACACTCTCCTTCCCCCAAACAGTGACATCAAAAAAACTTGGCCCAGAGACTGGAAAGATGCCTCAGGGGTTAAGAATGAACATTTCTCTCAGAGAGGACCCAACTTTGGTTTCTAGCACCCATGTTGGGCAGCTCACAACCACCTGTAACTCAGCTCCAGGTGATCCAGTGCCCCCTTCTGGCCTCGGCAGGCACCTGCATTTGTGTGCATACACCCACACACAGACATAAGCATACACAAAAATAAAATCTTCAAAGAAAACTCTGACTTATGCCAGAAAGATGGCAGATTCTGACTTTAATGTTTAATGCAGGGTTGAAGAGATGGCTCAGTGGTTAAGAGCACTGGCACCCTTCCAGAGGACCCAGGTTCAATTCCCAGCACCCACATAGCAGCTCACAACTGTCTGTTACTCCAGTTCCAGGGGTTCTGACATCAAAACACATAAAATAAATTTAAATAAAATGTTTTTTAAAAGAACCAATTTAGCCGGGCAGTGGTGACACACACCTTTAATCCCAGCACTGGGAGGCAGAGGCAGGCAGATTTCTGTGAGTTCAAGCCTGGTCTACAGAGTGAGTTCCAGGACAGGCTCCAAAGCAATACAGAGAACTCTGTCTCAAAAAACCAAAAAAAACCAAACAATTTAGAAATGTTTAATATAGTGATTCATTTATACTGAGCCTCTTTATTTATTATTATTACTATTATTGTTATTATTATTATTACTATTATTTTGGTAAGCAATTCTACTCTATGTTGTTGAGAAATCACTGCCTTTGTTTCTTAGTGACTCACAGTGACTGGAGTCCTAGCTAACGCAGCTATTATATTTGATAAAGACCCACATTCCTTGCAGGACTTGACCCCAAAGATTTCACATTAGCCCTTGAAATTTCTCTTTCCGGAACCCTGACAACAAAACGATGCATTTCTCTCTGTAGTATCCCAATAATAACTTAACTCCTCAGGGGCAGCAGAAAGGCAAGTATTTTCAAAACAACTGTGCTAAACTTATCCCAGGACTGGGAACAGCAGTCAGCTTTTATTTCTCCACCAGGGATTCAAGGTGCACATGCATGTGTTTGAGCCTATTAAACTGTCTCTCAAGAAGGTACAGTGGGCTTTCCCCTCTAATTTCTCAACCCTTCCCCTTCACACAACTCGCTGCTCTGAATAAAACCACACACACTTCTGTTCTTTAATTAGCCATATTATTGATATTTGAAAGCATTCCAATTCACAAAATGAGTGGTCTTCATTCACTCAGTGATTCCTTGGGTTTTTTGACCCACTTTTAAGAATTCGTTTGTGTGTGGACATGTTTGTGGACATACTTGTGCATGTGTTTGTGGGGGGACGGACATCTATATGTGTGCATAGAGGCTAAGGATAGCATGGGGTCTCTTCCTCTAGCTCCATCTTATTTTTTGGAGACAGGATCTCCAGTTGAGTCTGGAGCATGCTGATTTGCCTAGACTAGCTGGGCAATGAGCTCAGGCATCCTCTTGCCTCTGTCACCCCAGTGCTGGGATTACATGTGGGCCTCACTGTGCCCAGATTTTATGTGTGTGCAGGTACTCAACCTCATGTCCTCATGCCTGCTCATCAGGTGCTTTATAAACTGAACTGTCTCCGCAGTACCACATGGTTTGGGGGACAATCTCATGTATCTCCAAGCTGGCCTTGAACTTGCTACAACCACACTATGTAATCAAGGATGACTTTGAACTTCTGGTCTTCCTGTCTTCACTTCTTTTATGCATGTATGTATTTATTTATTTACTTTGTGGTGCTAGTGGTCAAACCCAGGGTCTTGTTGTACATGTCAGGGCTATCAGCTTCTTCATTGCTGTGGTAAAATGCTGCTTATGTTTGCTCATGGTTTCAGAGGATACCATGGTGGGGAAGGCAATGCACACCTCAATAGAACAGGAGGCAAGGAGGCATAATTGGGCTGAAGCATAACCCTTAAGAGTCTCTTCTAGTGCCTACTTCCCAGAGCTTCCAAAGCTCCCCACATAGTTCCCAGTGGTTGAAGTCATGATCCAGTAGACCTAAGCCATAACATCAAGAAGAACCCCATCACTGTGTTAGGCAGATTTCTGTGGCAATGACCTGAGGCTAATAACATAAAAAGAGAACGGTTTATTTCAGCTAGAGATTTCAGTATCTAATCACTTCCATTGTTTCTGAGTCTGTAGCAAGGAAGACTGAGTGGATGGTAGGTGGTTAAGCTGCTTGTGGAAGCCAGGGAGAAGAGAAGGAGGAGGGGAGAGGGGTGAGAGAGACAGAGAAAGAAACACATGGAGAATGTGAAACAAATAAAAAACAAAGAGAACTAGAGAGGGAGAGATAATCATAATGAGAATGAGAAACAGAGATTAAGATGTGAGACACAGAAATACAGCCAGAGAATGAGAAATAGAAACAGACAATAGACACAGACAGACAACGGACACTAAGGACAAAATGTTACACACTCTCAGTGACCTGCTTCCTCAAACTAGGCTCTGACTTATAAGTGTCCACCACTTCCCAATGCCCTCATTAGGCCCACTCCGTCACTACATAAACCCATGGATGAGGTTGAAGCTGTTAGTATCCAACCACTTCCCTAAAGCTCCATTTCTCATCATTGCTGCCTTGGGGACCAAGTCTTCACCACTTGGTCATTGAACAGCACTCCTAAGTCACATGAAAACAACCACTGAACACCATTCACAGCATTTCCATTGAGTAACTTTTAAGCCATAACAAGCACCAGTGTGGACTGCACTATGTGTTCACGTGTGAAGCCAACTGGGAAGGGATGGAGAGATGATGTAGGGATCACGTCAGGGAACTAAAGTCTTGGGGATGTGATGACCAGCTTGAGCATGGTTCCAATGTTTGGTTGCTGAAGTGCCTTTTAGGATTCTTTACACGTCTTCTCTAAATGTTTGGCAACATTCAAGGGATGGAAAAGCCACTGAAAATAGAATGCTACCTCCAATCTTGTTAGGACATTCCCTGAGGGCATCATTGTGGGTCAACATCGAGTTCACTCAATGAAGCTCACTTAGTCTACTGACTTACAAAAGCCACTTAAGGAAGAAGAGGGTCTATTTCTGCTAACTCTTTGAGGGTGTAGTCCATCATGGCAGGGAAGGCACGAGATGACTGGTCACATGGCATCCACCACAGAGGAGGAAGAGAGAGATGGACACTGGTGTGCCGTTCACTTTCTCCCTTTTATTCAGCCCAAGACCCAAGGCCAGTGGATGGAGCTGCCCAACTTTAGGGTGGGTCTTCCCTCCTCAGCTATTTCTCTCTGGAACCCCCCCCTTTGCAGACTCATCCGGAGCTGTCTCTTCTAGGTGATTTGAAGTCTAGCCAAGCTGGCTGTGAAGATTGTCCTTTACAACTAGCAAGATAAAAATCACAGGTTGGAGAGAGAGAGAGAACTCAGTACTTAAGAGCACTTGCTGCTCTTCCAGAGGTCCAGGTTGGAATCCTAGAACCCATATGGTGCCTCACAACTATCTTTAACTCCAGTTCCAGGGAGATCCAATGCTCCTCTGGCCTCCAAAGACACCAGGCTCATGGTGCACAGACATATAAGCAGGCATTCATACACATATGCAAAGTAAAAATAAATACATTTTTGTTTTCAATGGTCTGTGTCCCTACACTAAGGGTATCTTCACAGATTGAACTGATTGTTTGTTTCTTACCCCCATGTTGGGGTTGGAACATCTGCTACATGAGGCTTTGTTGTCACTTTTACCTTTAAGTCCAGTATTTCACTTACAAACCTAGCATTTTTTTTTTACCACTGGGAGAAAAATCAAAAGGACAGGCTTGGGATGGTGTTAGATAAGATATACCTACAGGCACAGCCATGGATGTAGTTATGGATCATAAAATTAAATGTCTGAGTCCCTAAGTGTGACATGTATCTTCTATCGATGTAATCCGATTTTAAGGCTTGTAATTTCTCTTGTTCCTTGGGGTTCTTCTTCTTCTTCACAGCCTTGCTTGTAGGATTAGGAGTGAATTTTAATATAACTTTTCTTATACTAACCAATTTATGCATTCTTTCTTCCTGAGGGTTATTCTACAGCAATTGTAGAACAGATCCAGTTGCAGGCTTAAGTGCCATGATTTTGTATCTAGGGATGATCCATGGCTAGAATCCAATTTTCTGTCCTGGGGGGTGGCAGAATGTGACCGAGATGTTTACTGGAGTGTGAAATCACCAGCAGGTATGCTTTGTGGGATAGTATTTTAACTGGGCAAAGATGTGTTACATTTAATTTATTCTGTGGAATATTACTTTAACTGTGTAAAGGTGTGTTACATTTGTTCATGCTGCATTTGTTTAACAATGTAAGGATGTGTGTTTAATCATGTAAAGATGGGTTATACTTGTTTAACCTTGCCTGCCTAAAGGCATCTGATTGGTCTAATAATCTGAACAGGCAATAGCCAGGCAGGAGAGGGATGGGCGGGGCTTCTGGGCAGAGAGAATAAATACAAGAGGAGAATGAGAGATGAGGGAGAAGAGCGGCCATCCAGACATAAAAAGTAAGAGATACAGAAGGGGAAAAAAAGAGAAGTAAAAAGCCCCTAGGCAAAAGGTGTCCCGAGCTACTGTCTCGCCAGCAAAAACAACGTGGCACACTCCTCAGCATCCTTCTGCAGTAAAGCTTTAATGTGTCTTGAGAGGGAGAGCATAAGCTTACAGAGCGGAGACTCCGAACTCCCAAAAACCCATCCCTTATATAGGCTGGCAACTGCCGCCTCGGAAGTGTTACTCCCTGACTGGCTGAAGCTCATCAGACCATATGACGTCAGCTGATCGGACCATATGACGTCACAGGAGAGGCGGAGACCAAGGGATGGAAAGTTACAAAATTACCTAGTGCGCATGCGCACTAGCTTGTAACGGCTCCTTACAAAAAGGTAAATAAAGAAAATCAGGTTAAGTTATAAGAGCTAGCAAGAAATGAGCTTAAGCAAGGCTGAACATTCGTAACTAAGAATAAATTTCTGTGTCATGATTTGGGAGAGCTGGTTGGTGGCTAAAAGAAAAGGCCTGGTGCAGATATGTTTGTGGGTTTTTATCTTTATTTTTGTTTTAGGACAGGGCCTCATGTAGCCAGGTTGCCCTGGTACTTACTGTGTAGACAAGGATGACCTTGAACTCCTGGTCCTACTAGATTATGAGATACCGGAGATAGGATACAGGTTTGAATGCTTGACAAGCACTCTACCACCTGAGCAAACATCCCTAGGACCCCCATTAGCAGGTATTCTTAAAACTTTGGTCTGCTACTGTGCAGATATATCTCTGGTATGTCTGTGTGGAAACAGGAAGTCTATGGACCCTTCTCCTCCCAGCCGGGGCACTTGGGGGGTATTACAGTGTCAAAGAGCAAGGGAAAGGGTCTTTTGGATATTGTCCTCACTGTTTCCAGGGCAGATAGCTGGAAAGGAATACTGCTCATCAAGTGGATAGCCTGGCACCTCAAGGAGTGGACAGGTGTCCATACTTAACTAACTAGGATGCCCAGGGGATACATAACAGTTAACTATGTTAATAGAGGGCCTGGAAATCTTTCTTCTCTTATTTTTTTTCTTAATTGGAAGTTCTTGGAATTCAGGCATGCTAGACATGTGCTCTACCACTAATCCTTATCTCGATACCTCCCTGGGGAATTCTAGACACGGACTCTACCACTGAAACACACCCCCAGCCCCTCACTGGGGAATTCTAGGCACAGACTCTACCACTGAAACACACCCCCAGCCCCTCACTGGGGGATTCTAGGCAGGTGCTCTACCACTGAGCCCCACCCTAACCTTCCCTGGGAGATTCTAGGCAGGCAATTTACAACTAAGCTGCATCCCCCACTTTCTCTTGGCTTTTTATTTTGGCAAAGGATCTCAGTAAGTTGCCCAGGCTGACCTTGAACTCAGTCTATGGCCACTGATACCCTTGCCCCAGCCTTCCCAGGTGCTGAGACTGTAGGCCTGGCACTCCCAAACCCAGCTGTTTTGCCACTTTAAAAAACATGTAGAATTTGTAGAAAACCACTGAACATTTAAGCAGGGGGAATATCAACATTTGTCTCCAATAAGAAATTAATCATGATAAAATATCCACAACAAAATGCAGCATTTTCCCTGTTTCTGAGCATGCAGGTTAGGAGGGTTGAGGGTATTTCACTGCTGTGAAGACCTCTCCAGACACTTCCTGTCTTAGAAAATGTAAGTCCACCAAGTTACAAGTCCACCTGTCCTTCTCCTCCCACATATGGACAACCACTCTTCTACCTCTGTCTTTACAAATTTGACTATTCTTGGTACTTCAGTTAAAGGAAGCCTCCAGTATGTATCCTCATGCGACTGATTTCTTTCTTTCATCTTGGATGAGCCTCAAGGACATTATTCTGTGTTTTAATGAGTCAGGATTCCCTTCCCTTTTTTAGGGCTGAATAAAATTGCCTCATATAGATGTACCCATTTTGTTTCTCCATCTGTGTGTCACCTCTGCCTCTTGTCTATTGTAAACAGCTCTGCTGTGATCATGAGTGTGTAGAAACATGTTCAAGTGTGCACTGTAAATTTTATTTGGCATAATCCAAGATGTGTGGTTGCTGGATCATGTAGTATTTTGTTTTGTCTGGAATACAATCGAAATGGCCCCAGTCACTGTACTATTTTGCATTCCCCTTACCATTGTACAAGGCAAATGACTTCTCTACATCCTCACTATAGTTATTTATCGTGTGTGTGTGTGTGTGTGTGTGTGTGTGTGTGTGTGTGTGTGTCTGTGTCTGTGTCTGTGTGTGTGTGTGTGTGT